GGGCGGGCGGCCGGCTCGGGTGCTGCGCCGCTGAGGCGCGCCTTGTTCATGCTTCCTTCTATTTAGCCATGTGCACATGGTATGTGGACTAGGTGTCGAAGCACATTTTGGTGCACAACAGCGCAGTGCGCTTTGGCGGCAGTGGAAGTCGCACTGAAGCTGCATTGCCTGTGCACTGGCTCAACACATTTCACCACCAGGCATACGCTTGCCTCACGACGTACTGCACGTACCGGTGAATGCGTACCGATACTTAAGACAAGCCCCCAGCCTCGATCTGGGGAGTGACAGGCCACGATGTCAGGGGCCGCCCGAGCCGCGGGCAAGGCCATTTATGCTGCCGAAGTATTTGTGCCAAAGGGTAGCCTCACGCAGGCGCGGTGAGAACGCAAGGGCTGCATCCTGCAATGCCCTCGGGTGCCTGAGCTGCTGTGGCGGACGTGCAGCAGGGCCTGCAACCATTGAGTCACGTGCTATATTTTGGCTCCAATCACGCGGCCCTGCTGGGCCCGGAAACGCTCTCTCGACTAGGTTCAACCTGCTGCGGGAGATTTTCGTCGGTACGGCGCTCGGCGTGAGTGCCGGGATCGTGTGGAAGGTGAGAAATACGCGCGGGAGGGCGCGCAAGATGTCTCGGCACTGTGACGAGAGCAAGGCTGGCTCACGATCTGCTTGCAGCACTGTCAGTCGCACCATGTCCTTGCTGCGCGCTTGAAACTCAGATGTATCATTGGGGGGAGAAGAAGCGCATTGCGGAGTACTACTCGGCCCTGGCTAAGAAGGAGCAAGAGGACGAGGCTGCATACGCGGCGGAGCTGCGCAACAAGTTCAAGCTGCTGGAGGAGGAGCTACTGGCTTAACGCGCGGCGGGGTGGGTCCATGCCCCCAGGCTTGCCTTCTGCTTCCTTGCGAATGCGGCTAGCTCAGCCAGGCAGGCTGCCCTGCGCTCACGCCGTTGGACAACCGATGCGGGACGTCGGCTGGTGGCCCGTGATGCTTGACAGTGTTTCACAAATTCAGTGTCAGCCGGCATCAGCGAGGCCAGGCGCACCAGTTGCGCTTGGCCCAAGGCCGCATGGGACTCCAGTTGCCTGGTGGATTCGACGACAACCCAGGCGTTTTGGCCTCTGCAGAGCGGACGCAGTGAGCATCTTCTGGGAACGATACCGGTGGCATCAACAGGCTGGCGAGGACGTTTAGGCCAACGACAAAGGGTTGAGATACATTGCTCAGCTACGGACGCTGGTTGGTACACTAATTACAGTGGCTGCCGTGGTGGCGCTGTTGTGGAATCAGGCTCGAGCTCTTCTATCCTGGCGCATGGTGCATGGCGGATAGCAGACTCGTGTTTCTTGATTGTTTCCTCTTTCTACTTTTTTGTACTGATTATCATCAAGCGTATGGTGGCTGTTGCTGTTGAGTAACACCACACACTGCAGTCATGTTTTTGTGCGTTGATACCTTGTTTGTCAGCAGGCCGGCATCGTCAACGGCGCACAGCTACCAAAGAGTGCGGTACAGTTACCAATGTGCAACACTGGGGTTGGATAGTGATCAGTTTGTTAAGCACTGACAAGAGGAACGAACAATAGGGTGGGTAACCGCTGGGTGCAACATCCGGGCACCATCAGTCCAGCTCGTCCACAAGACCACCCAGAATACGCGGCTGCATGGATGCGGATGCATTCAAGGAGACAGGCACTGAAGGCCCCTCGGCCACCCTGCTCGGCACACCCCGCACCCTGTCGACATCGCAACCCAACGCACCGTCAGCACACCCAGTCCGCGCCGTAGATGATTTGCGAGGCGACCCATGTCCGCATGTGCCGTGCAACTGCTCCCACAGCATCTCGTTGTGCGTTTGGCTAGTTCGCCTTTCCTCGTCTGCCCTGCCTGCCCGGCTGACGTCCTGCTCAGCCTGCTGCATCTTGACGTGCTCATAGACCAATTCGCGCCTGCTCGCCCCGGTGCTGGTGGCATCGCTCAGCCCACTGCTAGAGGCATCTGAAAGCCCAGCACGGCTGTCACTGCTGCCAGTTGGTGGGCAGTGCGCATGCGCGGTGTCGCTCTCAGCAGACACTGCATGCTGCGTTCTGCCAACATGCGCTGCGTGTGAAGGCTCCTGCTGCTGCTGCTGCTGCTGCTGCTGCTGCTGCTGCTGTTGCTGCTGCTGCTGCTGCTGCTGCTGCTGCTGCCGCCGCACTGGCATGGTGACAGCCAGCCGTTGGGTGCGGCTGTCAAAGCGCGCGCTGCTTTTGCACTCATCCACCTCGTACGGCAGCTGCACATCCAATGCGTCTTGAGTCCCTGCGCTGCTGGCCAGGGTCACCACGCTGCGCGCCACGTCCAGGCTGATGTTGTCAATGCTGGCAACACCTGGCAGCTCAACACGCAGCACCAGTTCCTGGGGGGAGGATGGCGGCAATTCGCTGAATGCGCTGGCTGGCGTCATGCTTGTGTATTGATTCATGTACGTGTGACATCTGTTGGCACCCAGATTCTCAGCATAAACAGCCCGTGCGCGCGCCACAGACGCCCAATGAAGCTTCCAGGCAAGCACAGCCAGCCACGCGCACTTTGGGAATGCGCTGCTGTGCTGTGTGATAGTGGCAGGTGTCGGACCAAGCATCCGTGAGGTCGGGACTGAAACGGTGAACCAAACGCCACTGTGTGGGTGCAGTGCCGCAGTCGCTGCCGCTGGCGGACACGGGGCGCGCTTGAGCTGCTGCCGTGCCCTCTAGCGGTGCAGCATACGTCCTGTTGCCGCGAAAGCTGAATATGCTGCGGCGTCCTGGCTTGTTGCGGCCAGCGTTGCCTTGACATGTCGGTGCATCGCTGCCAACCTCAGCCGAGCATCCTGTGAACTCCGCAGTGCCCAGTGCGCCAGCACGGGGCCGGCTTTCTCTGCCAGGTGTGGGCTTGACGCGCCCGCCATGCTCGTGCTGCTGTCCTGTGCCTTGGGGACGCAGCACAATTGTGTTGGGCCTGCGTGTGCGGTGACGCTTGGCATCAGCAGGGCCACGTGTCGCATGCCGCAGGAGGGCGGTGAAGCCTTGCAAGGCGTTCAGGATTAGTCAGCGCAGATGTACATGATGCCCAGATCGTGAGGAGCGCCCACCACTTCCTTTGTACATCCTGTCCCCAAGTCCCGGGATCCCAGACCCCCTCACCCTGTGACACCGTTGACGACACTCTTGTAGGCACACCGCAGCACCTTGTGCTGTGCTAACAGCTGTGTCCCGGAGGCCTTGGCAACGTGCTCTTTGGCCTGCAGGGGACAGGACAAGCGAAGCGTACTTGTTGGATGAGCAGCTGGTGGTAGCCCTGGCGTGAGGCAGGCTGGGAGGTGGCACGGGCTGACACCCTTTCGTGACACTGCGTGTCAATGAGGGCTGACTTCCCCTCTCATCGCCCGTCACGCACCGCTTCAACCAGGGCCTCCATAACTGCCGGCACACGTGTCGCCTCATCTACCGCTAAGGGGTGCACCACAAAGTCCCAAGCCTGGGCAGCAGCGCCCTTGTTGTCAAAACCTTCAGCAGGCTTGTTTCCCATGCAGTTGGGGATTTCCAGGATGACGCCGCGCCGACCAGCCTCCTCAGATGGTCTTCTTGTTGGCGGCTGGACCTGTGCGGAGATCAGACCGGGTGCTGCTAATGCTAGGGCAATCTGCATGCATTTGCGCATGGGAGGCTGCAGGGTGCGCCGGCTGCAAGCAGAGACCAGTGCAGCTCAAAGATGGCCCTGGCTACCACTCTCTTTGATGACTGAAGCGCACCTTGTCACTGGTGCACACATTGATGAACACCTTGAGCGCGCCTGAAACGCCCCGCGCCTTCAGCACAATCGAAGGCTGCGGCGCGATCAGCTGCACGCCCTGACCATACACCTCTTCGGCGCGCCCCTCCACCTCCAGCTGTTTCAAATAGGCCTCCTGCTCAGCCTTGGCCTGTGACATGTGGCGCATGGTACCGTCATGTTATCTTTCGCTTGCAGGCAGCAACACCCAATCCCAAAGACACGCTGCAATGCGAAAGCGGATCAAACCATCGCTATCGTCCTGCACTTTCACCGCGCTGCATCCGATCGGCTGCTGTGCGCCCGCTTGCTGAATGCTTGGATGCTGCAGCCTTCTGGCCGCCTGCTGGCCGCTCCGCGCGTCACTGCGTGCCAGGCGTCACACCAATTGTCTACGCACTTCGGGATTAGAGATCTCCTGCGCATAGTCCTGAAACAAACGCATAAATTCAGGGTCCTTCAGCGCCCTCACGAGCTTGTCAGCCTCCTGCGGATCGTGGGATGCGCAGTGGGCGGATTTCCCGCCGCTTTGTGCGCACAGACCGCTGCCGATTGGGCTCAATCCAAACAGGCGGCCGCAGGGCTGCAGAGCTGGGTGTAATCACCTCAGCGCTTATGTCGTGCTCCATGACAGCGATGCCGACTTTATTTTTGGACTGCAGTCGCGAATCGCTGCCCCGCGGATCTCAAAGATCATACCCCAAACGAGCTAATCGACACTAAAAACGTTGTTATATATGCGCCACTGACAGAATTGGATGTCAAGCCGCGTGCGAGCAATACAGCCGCGCAGCTGTACATCCAGCATGGGTACACAAGCGGAAACCTGAGAAGCTCACTCGCTTGGCCCCTTCATGCTCTCATGCATTTTGCCATGCAGCAGAGGGCCTGCACATCCAGGTGCTAGACAGAGACAGAGTATCAGGAGCAGGTCGAGACATGCGAGGCGCACAGCATGCCAGGTCAGTTCACAGCTGCGGGTCGTGTAGGCGCTCAACGTCGGTATAGAACGCCGAGTCAGAACTGAGCTACCAGGACAGACTGATTGTGGGGTGAGTGAGGCTTTTAACACGGCCCCTCCGCTCATCTTTTCCCACCTGCATGTCATCAGTCAACGACTCAGGAGATTACAACACTCTATGCCTGATGTCCTATTGACAAATGGTCACTGATCGTGTTACAAACATTGACAAAACATTGCCGTTGCGGGCGAGGTCGCCGCACCCTAGCGCAGCTGAATGATGCCTGCTGTGACAAGCTTGGAAATCTTGTTCCGAATCTCGGGGTGCGACATGTGCCGCTGCGCTGCGCGCGGGTCTGTCTGCAGGTCCTCCAGCACGCCCTGCATTATTGGGTCGCGCAGTATGCCCTGCACCTCGGGATCCTCCATGGCCTTGGCACGCCGCTCCGCAATCTCCTCCTCGCTGCCCATTCCCTGCGCAATGCGGTTGATGGCGTCGATGCAGCGCATCATGCCCTCCTTCAGCTCCGCGTTGCCCGGGTCGTGCTTCAGGCCCGCCTCGTAGGTCGCCAGGCCCTTATGTTCGGTTGGCAAGGCGCAGGGGTCATCGGGAAGGTCAGATGACGTGACAAACAAAGATGCGTTGCGGTGCGGGCGGGGCCTGGTGGCAGGTGCAGGGCAGTACTGCATGACGGACTGCTCATGTCTGGACTCATGCGGATCCAGCATGTGCTGTGACGAGATGAGCTTGCGAGCTCCTGCCCCTGCGCAGTGGCGAGCCATCAGCCTGGACAGCACTGCGTAGCACCAAACCCAGGGCCTCTCTGGTCAGGCACTAGAGCAGCCCCTGCAAAGCCCTCCCTCCTTTTGCGCACCCCCGCCCCACCTTGTTGTACTCCTTCATAAGGAACTGCAGCGTGCCCTTGCGGCTGTAGCCCTTGGTGAACTCAGGCGCCAGCTCAATGCAGCGGTCCGCGGCCTTGATGCCCTCAGGGTACGCGCCCAGCTTGGTGTAGCACGCCGCCAGGTTGCTGTACAGCTTGTGAGCCTCGGGGTTGTGGGATGGGGGGCCCCTGGGGGTTGGGAGGAGGGGGGGAGCGGGTGGCAGTAAATAGCCGTATGTCAAGGCAGCAGCAGCTAGGGGGAGAGCCCGTTGTGAAATCCAAATTGTCAAAGCAGCCAGTCATCTGCGTACGACAGCACACCCAAGCCGTCTATGAGCCCATCTAACACAAATCAACAACATGTGCACATTTGGCACATGCACAGCACAGGCAACAGCTTGCAAATGTGCTTGATCTCTGACGGCCAAGCACAGCCACCCTCATCCCTCCCACCTCTTGAGTGCCTCCTGGTAGTGCCCCACCGCCTCCGGGTAGCGATCCCCCTTGAAGGCCACATTGCCTTTCTCGCGCTCCTCCTCACACAGGGACATGTCCACATACGACGACTCCTGCTGGGCCTGAGAACACGATTATGTCAAGGGGGATTGGTCTTGCACAGTGCACAGGCAGGTCTGGTAGATCGTGCAGCTGACAACAGCAGCAATAGAGGTATGCACCAGCACTGCGGGGTCGTAGGCCAGAAACATGACTGGTGCTCATCAACTCACACACTACCATTGCTGCTGCCCACCTTGAGTGCCTTCTCTGTCTCCTGCAGGCGCTTGAGAGTCTCTGCGCTGCGGTGCTCCATCAGGGACTTGTTGTACGCGTCAATCGCCTGGCATATGTGGGCAAAGGGGGGGGGTAGGGTGATTGAGCGCCAAGGGTGGCAGTTCGTGTGTGCGTGTGTGCGTGCGTGTGTGCGTGCGTGCGTGCGCGTGTGCGCGTGGGGGAACTTCAAGATGTGCAGGGCTGGAGATGGGCCGTGCCAATGCCGTTGTTGCTGCAAGGGACCAGGCTTGGCACCGAACGAGTTATTCCTGTACATGCATGTTGCAACAGCATGGCGCGCTCCCAGGCCCACGCTCGGTCTCCCCCTCCATCCTCCCATGTTCTACACGCACACACCTCCTGCAGGCGTCCGAGCTTGACGAGCGCGTTGCCCTTGCGCTGCAGGGCGCGGCCCACCAGCGCGTAGTCTGACCGCAGCTCGCGGCCGCGCATGACGGCGTCGTCGCAGTCCTTGACGCACGCCTCAAAGTCACCCATCTCAAAGTGCACCGCCGCCCTGGGCAGTTGAAAAGCAGGAAGGGGGGTAAGGGGGAACTCGAAGGCAGTGGGGACCAAGAGGGGGGGTAGACCAAGACTGAGGGGCAACGTGGAGGGGGTAACATGATGCACATGATGCACCCTGTTCCTGGTGCCGGGCAGGGCACCCAAAAAGCTGTGATTTACCATCATCAACAACCACCCATTGTCCCCTGAGCATCTCACTTGTTGGTCAGGAACGAGATGTCGCCGTCGTACGCGGCTATGGCGGCGTCATAGTGGGCCAGGGCCTCATCAAAGCGTTTGGCCTTGTAAGCCTCGTTGCCTTTGGCCTTCTCCGCCGCTGCCGCCGCTTTCTTTGCCGCCAACTCCCTCTCCTCATCATCCATCTCCGCGTCCGCAGCTTCAGGCTCTGGCTCCTGCAATGTGTGGGTGGGTGCGTGTGTGCGTATGTGTGTATGTGTGTGTGGGGGGGAGGCATGGTTGCAGACGAGGGATGGGGGTCGACATGTAGACGAGATGAGCAGGGGAGGATATACATGTACAAATACATCAAACTCCGTGCCGACGTCGATTTCTTGATTTCAGTCAATGCTTGGATGCATGCTCGTTGCGGCCAATGCGGCCACCTACCCAACATCAACACGCTTGCAAGTGCCCACCTTGGCCTCCGCCCCACCAGACGCCGCTGCTGCCGAGGGCCCCGCGGCCGCTTGATGGTGCGCGCTGCTGGAGGGCCCCTGCGCCGACGCGGCCCGGCCCGAGCCGCCTGCCATCTCTGCTGCCTCCTCCGCGTTGCTGGCGACCTTGATGCCCAGCATGATCTCAAGAGCCTGGCAGGCACGGGTGGGAGGGAGGGGGGGGTGTGGGGAGATGGGGGGACAGGGACGCCAACGCAAGAAAAGAGAGAGAGAGACGCAATCAGGAGGGGCGGCTGTCCTGGGGTTGACCAAGCAAACAACGCCAGCTTGACCAGCATCGATCGAGCTGTGACACCAGGCACCCCTGGTCTAGCATGCAAGTGGAGGGCAAGCGACTTGGGGAGGCCCAACACCCCGCACGGTCCCCATGCTCTAGCATCAAATGCCTGGTTCCCAGCGCCACCTACTCCCCGTATACACACCGCCAGCCCACCACTGCCACACCCTCACCAGCTGCATCTTGCTGTCACCCAGCATTGCGTTGAGCATTTCCGGGTGCGCCGCCACCTGCCTCAGGCGCCCCATGAACTCGGCATCCTCCAGCAGGGGTCGCCCGCGCGGGTCCATCGCCAGCCGTGCCATGCCCTCGGGGCCAAACAGCTGTCCGCCACGCGACGTGCTGCGGTTCTTGGCCGACAGCGCGTCGCTCAGAGCTGACTGCAGAGCGTGGTTGCTGGGGTCAATGTGCAGGCCTGGTGGGTGGGGGGTGAAGGGAAGGAACAGTATGGGTGGTGAGTGCAGCTGTGTGCATCGGCCAGGTCTTGAGGCTCAACTCTCATCACCTGCTGCCAAGTCGTGGTTGAGGGGCTGAGCTCCCCGCCTTGTGTCCCGAGGCCCCACCCCACCCACCATCCTCGTAGGCCTTGACGGCCTCCTCCCATTCCTCCAGGCCAAAGTAGGCCGCGCCCAGGCGTGAGTAGCCCTTGGGCCAGTCACGCTTGAGCTCAACACACTGTGCGAAGGGGTTAGGGGGCCAGCAGGAAATGGTCTGCCGCACTGATAAGCAGGCGAGGGGCAGCTGTGCGGTCACTGGTGGATGCAAGGCCCCAGAGGTGGCCGCACGGCTGCTGTTGCACCTCCTGCCGTCTGACACACGGTATTCAACTTTACCGGTACTGCAGTGCTTTCTAGAGCGCCCTGGACCGCACCCCATCCCAATGCAGCAGAGTTGCACCTTCTTGGCGTCCTTGAGTGCCTTAGAGTAGCGGTGCAGGCTGGCCTGCAGGGGTTGAGAGGGCAGGTGCTCACTGATGCTGCGGCAGGCTCACGTCGCCTGCACCATTGCCCACAGGGACGCCTGTGAGGCAAGGCTGCCCCAAGCAGGCATGTCTGGCGGCCGTGTCTCAAGCAGCCACGCACCTCGGCCGCGCTGCGGTTGCTGTAGAGCACATGATTGTTGGGGTCCAGCTCTATCGCCGCAGAGAAGTGCTGGATCGCCTCCTCAAAATGACCCGCCGAGAAGGCTGCATTCCCCTTGGCCTGAGAGGGTTGGTCGATTTGGGTGCGGAAGGCCCAGGGCGTCGTGCAGGACCCTACAGAGCGGCTGATGCCCAGCCGTTTCCGCCAATGGTATTCAAATGCCATTTCGCACGAGCGCGTCTTCTGAAGAACGTCCCAAAAAGCCCCCCCTCTCCCTTGCGGCCTCCGCCGACGCCCGCTGCTGCACAAGTGCGCACCGCGTGTCGCACTCCCTCTCTTGCGCCCCCCATCTTTCCCACCAGCGAGTTCACGAACCCACCTTTAATTCATCAGCCATTCGCGCCCAGTCTAGCAGAGCAGGCGAGGTGAGGTGCGAAGTCTCTGGAAGAAAGTCGCGGAGGATCAGATCAGCTTGTGGCTAACCGTGTTGCTGAGCGAACATACATCAACGGCATTGAAGTACGCACGGCATCAGATGCAAGTTCTGATGTGGGCTCTCATGTCTTGAAAGTGTTGCACCTGGTCACCGTCAGGTTTCCGGTGAGAGCCGAGACCTTCTCAAACAAGCGTCAACGTATCGGTATACCGTACATCAGCTGTAGTGACTCCATATTAATTCGAAGTGCCATGCAGCCCTTGGAGGCTCTCATCACAACGGAAATCCGATGATCTAGATTTTCTGATCCTCTATAGCAGGGAAGCAGCACGGGAAATCACAGCATGGGTAAGGGCAGCATGGGTAAGGGCAGCCACAGCTCCGAGGGCCATACGACGGCACAGCAGATGCAAACGCAGCAACAGCAGCAGCTCGTGCCCCCACCGGCGGGTGGGGCGCCGGACGAGCTGCTGTCGCTCCCCAAATACCGCGCTTTCCAGGCGCCAGACTTCAATGCTGCCGAGTTTACCAGCAGTGTGCTGGCGACGTCGCGCACGAGTGCGCACGCTCAGGCGGAGGAGCTGCGCCAGGGCGTGCGGCAGCTCGATGCAGCGCTTGCAGCTGCGGTGGTGTCGCGTCACAGCGAGCTGCTGGGCCATGCGCGGCGCCTCTTGGACGCGGATGCGGGCGCACAGGAGGTGGTGCTGTCGGTGGGCTCGCTGCAGGCTGCGGTGCGGCGCGTGCGCGCAGAGGTGGAGGGTCCCTACGTCGCGGTACTCCTCCAAACACGCCAGCTGCGCTCGCTGCACGCCACCATCGAGCTGCTGCGCGCCCTCCTGCTGCGCCTCAAGCTCACCTCCAAGCTGCGGCAACAGCTGGACGCGCCGCCTGGCCAGCTGGATTTGGCCAAGGCTGCCAAGCTGCTGGCAGACGTCGCGGCAGCCCCAGGCGGAGAGCAGCTAGACAGCGTGGCGCTGGCAGCAGCGGATGCGCCGTTCTTAGAGCAGGCGGGCACGAGCATTCGGGATCAGGCGCAGGTGGGAACGCGTTGCGTGCCGTGGCGCGGCCGGCTGGCAGGGCGACGGGGGTTGTCCAGGTCTTGGATCTTGCCAGCTCGTCCGCCCAACCCACAGGAGAGCCACCAACCTGAGCGTCAGCCTTGAACCTTACAAAGCTGGGACCTGCTTTGTTGTGCGTACTGCCACGCCTGATCTGTGCCAACCCGCTCTCCCCCACGTCCCGCCAGGCGGCCCTGAGTGACGGCATGGAGGCCATGAGCCAGGCCAAGGTGGGGGCGGCCCTGCAGGTGTTCTTCAACCTGGGGGAGCTGCGGCCGGCGGTGGACAGCGTCATCAGCCGCGCGGTGCACGAGCTGGACAAGGCGGCGCGCACGGCTCTGGACAGCAGGCACCTCAGCCTCAGCTTAGGGGCCACAGCAGGAGGCGGCGGCGGCCCAGGCGGCGCGCGGGGCGTGGCATTGCCGCAGCCGGGTGCGGTGGGCAGCTGGCAGGAGAAGCTTTGGCAGGGGCTGCGCACAGTGTTTGATACGCTGGTGGCGGGCGGCGTGGCGGTGTGGCACTTGCAGCGCGTTGCAGCAAAGAAGCGCGATCCCCTCAGCCATGTCCTCTTCCTTGATGAATTGGTGGCTGGCGAGGCCGGCGGTGCTGTTGCGCAGCTGCCGAGTGCCAAGTACTGGTGCGCAGCGATGCGGGCACAGCTGGGGCAACGGCTTCAGTGCTGGTCTCCTTTTGGCTGTCGCCTTTTTACATTCAAAAGCAGCCCAGGCTGACCTGTCTTGATAGCCGTGAGAGGGTGGGGGTTGCAGATGTGTTGTGGACACTGTGCATATAACTTTGCTGAGCTCTGAGGGCCCACATGCGAGCTAGGGTCGTTGCTTGCATGCCTGAAGTCAACCTCATTCCCCGCGCTTTCGTGCCGTAAACGCCAGGTACGAAGCGCTGCGTGTCCTGAGCGATGCTCTCGGCGCGGCTGCCAAGCCCTCCAAGGGTGGATTTGTGCGCGAGGCGCTGGCAGGTGGTTACCCAAAGCTGGTGGCAGCACTTGAGGCAGCATTTGGGCGCCTGCAGCAGGACACACGCGTGCGTGGCGTGCCGCCAGCGGTGGCGCCTGAACAGCTGCAGTCCCTGCTGGCGGTTGCCGCGCCGTTTCGCGACGTCTACCTGGCGGCGGCCCTGGGGCGGCTGCAGGATGTGGTGGGCGGCGCCTACCCCGGCGGTGGGCGCGCGCTGGCCTCGCCTGCCGACGTGCAGAAGGTGATCGCCGCGATGCACGGCGAGCTGCGTGGTGCAGGCAGCAGCCCGCAGCTGGCCGGCCAAGTGGCAGGGGTCGTAGGGAAGGCGCTGCAGCAGCTGGCGCAACGAGCAGAGTACATGGCAGCGGCAGGCCCTGAGCTGCGGACGGTGGCGCTGGCACCTGGAGGCGGCGGGGCGTCGGCGGCGCAGCAGCGCAACATCGCGCTCGCCTCACAGCTACAGGAGGTGCACAGGTGTGTATCCATGCTGTTTCATGGTTGCGCGCACAGCACGGTGACGCTGGCCTTGTCCCACTGTGCTATCAGCTTCGCCGTGGTCCTGCCACCCTGGACTTGATGGTTAAGACACACATGCACCTGTGCTGCGTTGCCCAAAGCTGAGCTTCTTGCTGACATCCCACTCAAATGTTTGCCTGCGATGCCAACGCTTGTGTCCGCTGCGGCAGGTCTCTCATTACACTGCTGCCCCGCTTGCCAGCCCCCGTCACGGCTGCGCTGGATGCTCCGTTGGTGGCGCTGCATGTGGCGGCCCTGGACGCAGTGTCGCCCATATTCCGCGCCCTGGTGGAGGCCATGGAGGCCAAGCTGGGCGGGATGCACGCACTCCACCAGGCGCACCGCGACCGCGGCGGTGATGGCGTTGAGGGCGGCATGATGGACACCAGTGGATTCGTTGCAGATGTTGCTGCCAGCCTCGGCTTCTTCAGGTGTTGGCGGAATTCAATCGACGACAGTCGAGCGGATGAAGTATAGTGCCATCCTGTTGGGCGCTGCTGACTGGGGGCACGCGGGCACTTGGGCTCCGGCAACTGCATGCATCCTGCCCTGACGGTGCACCACATGCACACCGCACACTGGCAATGCTGCATTGCTAGTGGCATGCTTTTGCCATGGCTGGTCTCCTGCTTGCGTCCGCTCCTGTGCACACACCCTCCACCTGTTCTTGGCCCCCTACCCGCCAGGTCGGAGTACTTGATGCGCTTCGCGCCGCCGCCCGTGCCGACGCCCTCCGCACCGTCTGCCACGGCGCAGCTGTGCGAGCGCAGCGCGGGGCGCCTGCTAGCGTACTTTGTGCGCCACGCGGCGCTGCTGCGGCCGCTCTCCCCCGCCGCCAAGCTGCAGCTGGCAAAGGACCTGGCGGAGCTGCAGGCTGGGGTGGGCCAGAGCCTGTGGCCCCTGGAGGCCCTGGGCCCGGCGGTGCGCGGCCTGCGCAGCTTCCGTGCGCTCCTCTTTGTGGAGGACGCCGCGCTTGATCCCAGTGCGCCCCCGCTCAGGGATTTGCCCGCGAGTGTGGTGCTGCACCACCTGTTTTCCAGGTGAGTTCGCCTCTGAGTTGTGCAGCTGGTATTAACGAATCAACCTCCTACGGCTGCTGCATATTGGGGCATGTATCATGGTGCCATCCACCTCAAGCGCGATCGCTCCACCCCAAGCAGTGTTCGCACGCTCAGCTTGAGGCCCTCATCCCACTGTTTGCACGCTGCAGGCTTCCCACTTCTATCCAGGCGCCGCACGAGCGCTCATCGCTGTCACCGGCGCAGTACTCGAGGTGGCTGGACCAGCACAGTGCGGCCGACGTTGCACGTGGGGTGCTGGCCGCACTAGACGCCGCGAAAGCTGCTGCTGCGCAGGTCGCTGACCCAGGCCAACGGGCCGTGCTGCAGGTGATGAGCCAGCTCTGTGCATCTGCCAGCGCTGCGCCGCAAGGCGGCGACGCTGCAGCGGTGTGAGCGAGGCAGATGCCGTCGATGCTCGTCCGTGTTTCGTCCTGGCCGCAGCACCAACCGCTTTTTCGGCGCCTCACAGTGCGTTGCTCAGGTCACAAGCCAATTGAATGCATCCTGCTGCACGCACCTCAAAACCCCTGCCGTGCACGCTCTATCCGGGTGGAGTCTCCATGCAATCCGCCATTTCACCTGCTCCGCAGACCCCTCTTGCTGCACATCGACCCCCTCTTGCTTTGCCATGTCGCACGTCCGTGCCTGCCACTGGTGTTTCTGCTGATACCATTATTTATCTTGCGTCAATGAGCAACTCTGTTCAGCAATCGCTCTTACACGTATGTAAGTCTTACCGTACAGTAGCTGGCTGTATTCAGCTGTCTGCACTCCGTTCGCTGTTTGGCGTCGCGGCTGCTCCTCGATCCTTACATACTGAAGTGTCGTCATATAAGCAGCGCAGGCAGCGTGAACGAGCCCCGCCGCCGAACTGCCGCTCTGGGGACCACCACATCTGAGCTCCCTTTGAGATGCAGGGCACAAGCACGTGTCCCAGTGGCATGGGCGGCCTGCTACCCAAAGACGCATGGCTGCGCGCTTATTGTCTTTCCATGGGCTTCCCGCCGCTGCCGGCAGCTATGTGCCATGGACGCTCATGCAGCATCGAGCTGGACTGCGGCAGCACAGCAGAGGGCGAGGTGGCGCAGTGGAGTGTGCTGGACAGGCAGGCCTTTAAGCGGCGCGCAGAGCTCAGAGCACAGGCTGTGAAGTGCCCTGAATTGGCCACCTGCATCTTCATGGAGCGTGTGGGCGCGGAAAGCAAGCAGGCACCTGAAGTCACGGGCGGTGCAGTCGCAACGGTTGCAGACCAAGTGGGGCCAGGGCGCGCTCCAAGAGCAGTACTTGAGCAGGTTGCATGAAGGCGCAAAGCGGCACTCATGAATTTCGCTGCATTGCTCTTATCTGTATAGAACTTGCGCGAACACATATACCCGTGAAATGGAACTATGTGTGCCTTGTGCACACCACTGGCAAGCAACGGTATGCGCAGGAGAGCAGCCTGTGTTACACAAGGTGTACAAACAACCACAACCGCACAAGTGAGTAACACACACCTTCTTGTTCTAGCGTGTCCCTGTCGCGCGGAGCTTTGTGTTTGCTGCCTGGGGCGAGCGCGCCATGGTGCCGCCCCCCTTCCGAGTAATGGCTGCTATTTTTGAGATGGTGTCGAGGCTCATACCTCGCTCCTGCGCGAGTCCGCCACGCGGCACAAAGCGGGACGAGCGGTTGGGACTCCAGCTCAGAAGGCCGGCACCGCTAGCCTGCCGCTCGCCCGGGACGGTTTGCGGGGCCTTTCGGCGTGATGGGGCCGCCGCATCATTCCAAGCGTGCTGCCACCTCCCAGAATCGCCGTCGTCGCAGCTGCCGCCGCCGCTCGCCTTGCTGAGGTTCTTGAAGGTGAGGAGAGAGTACACGTCCACGGCAGTTGGGCGCACCAGTTGAGGTGCGTTGTGCTTGCCTTTAGACTCGCTGTTTGGGGGCTTGGTACCTGGCGGAAGCGGATCCTCCTGGCGCAGGGAGTGCGACGCGTTGACCACACCCTTGATTTCCACGGGGTCGGGCAACTGCCGCTTGCCAATCCGCGGCATGTCTGACCAGCAGCCGTCAGCTGGCGGGCCGTTTCTGAAAGTCGCGCCCCACAGGTGGGCCTCCGCTGCCGGTGCCTCGCCCTCCGTGCTGCGCTTGCCCGTGTGTGGAGAAATGGCTGCATTTCCAACCCAAGCGTCAGTCTCCAGTTGCGCTGAGCCCTCCCACGCGGCAGGCGCCCTGTCAGGCTGAAGCACGCCGTACAGTCCGCGGCGGCTGTGCTGCGCGCAAGTGGCTGGTGCCCGACCCCGCCCGCGCGCCGGGTCGATCCCAACGCATCCCAACCACGAGTCGTCCTCAGGCTTGCCTAGGAGGTTGAGAGGAGGGGACCAACGGCGTAAGTGGTGCCAAACATCAGTGGCCGGATCGCAACAGGTGTGTGTGCGAGGCGCCCTGCTTTCTCTTGTTAGAGGCGGTACCCTGCAAGGTAACCAGCAGCAAATCGTGCGTTGCTTCATGCAGGCAAGAGGCATCATCATGACGCACCTGCTGTTATTATCGACTCACCGGGTGACGCCAGGCTGAGGACCTCCGCCAGCCCCTTGCGCCCCTTGGGGTCCTGCGGTGCCGTGACCGACCGACGCCCCTTGGTGGGATCGATCAGCTGGTTGCCCAGCCACGAGTCGGTGCCGCCTGCCTCTGTGCCTGACAGCGTTCCAAATAGCGAGCTGCGGCCATCCTTGGCCATAGGCGCGGCTGCTGCCGCCCTTCCTGGCCGCTCCTGCTGCCTGGCGCTGCGGTGGGGCACTCCTGCCAGGCCGTCCTGCTTCAGCAGGCTTGTGTCGCCCCAGCCGTGCCAAGCCGAGCGCTGCTGGCTGCCGTCCTGAGAGTCTGCGACTTGCACCGAAGACGGGGAGTTGGTGTGGCACCACTGGACTGCCAGCCTGCTTTGTTGCTGTTGTCAAATCTGTGCTGACATGTGGACCGTGTCAACCGAGAAAACAAGTGCAACAGAGGTCTCAAGCCCACATGCACAGGTAACATTTGCTCACTTGTCTGGTGTTGTTCTTCGCCGCTTGCAAAGAGGGGGTGCCGCGTTTCCGCAAGCGGACACATGCTGGGCACCGAGCGAGCAAAGCTGAGGAGGCATGCATGGGTGGTGTGTGTGGTGTGAGAGCGGCCTGTCAGCGTTGCAACTCAACGGCATGAAAGTGATGGCGTTCAATGTTGCCAGTGCCGCTTCGAATTTCGTGCCACCCTCTCATTCTCCTGCGCACTCACCGCTGCTCCACCACCGCCCCCTTGTCATTCACGCTTGAATAGCTGGCTGAACCCCACGAGGACCTGTACGAACGGCAGAGTTCTCCCCATGACGCCGGCTGGGGCTCCGCTGTCACTTGCCCATTTGCATGCGGCATCTGATCCTGCGCGATGCTGGCTCTGCTGCTGCGGCGTAGACTGCTGCTCTCGCTGCTGCTGTTGCTGCTGCCGTTGCTGTGGCAGCGGCCCAAGCGCTGCACTTGTGGCTGAGTTGTATGTTACCAGGCAGCCTGAAATAGCTTGTACTTGGACAGCAACCTTGCCATATTCTAGAACTCGTCCGTTGTGCAGACGGGGACCCACAGGCGCGCACAGCGCAGCCGCAGCTCAGCAGCGTCGGGAAAGCGCAGCATGGCTAAATGTGCACAAACACCGAGCCCAGTCTACACCGCTGCGTATGACTGCAAGAGAAGTGCTTTCAAAGAAACATTTGAATAGCATGTGCCGAGAGCTCCTGAGAGGTCAAACGCGAGCGGAGCATTTTTTTGGCTGTGCGGCAAGCTGAAACCGACCCTGTAATGTGATTTTGAATTACACAATGAAAAATTAATCAACGTTTTTTGCGATGACGCGTTGCGATGGCGGACGCGCCCGCCGGCAGCTGGTGCTTGCCACGTGTGTGCGCTGCTGCCAAGTGTGTGTGCTGCTTCTCGAGGTGTGCTCGTCACCATCCCCTGCGCCAGCTCTGCGCTGAGAGCGCCTTGCAGCCGTTGGCACGTGCTTGGGTGTGTACCAATGAACCGAATGGTCAAGTTGGACCAGAACATTGCAAATGGGCGCATATGGGTCACCTCTTGCTCAACCACTTGCTGATGAACCCGGCGTTGTTGGGCGCATCGCACCTGGAGTGGTGCGTGGTTGCGCTTAGTTGGCCGGCAGCCAAGGAGGGCGCCCCAGGCGCCCTTGTGGTAGCCTGTGTGGCGGGAGTGCACAACACAATAAATATGGCCCGGCCCCAATGTCGTGTGTGTGTGCACCAGCAGTAGTTGGGAATAACATGACAGTTGCTTGCCTGCGACGACGCTCTTGCAAACAGGGGCGAGGAGCTCAGGAGGGCGACCAACCACAAATTACACCTGGGTTGAATCACAAATTACACCTGGGATGGTGCAACCAAACCCCCCCATATCGGAGGCTGGGCCAACCAGTTCAAATACATGCACCCAATTTCTTTCGCACACATCACTTGCCTCTTGCTGGTCCCATGGGCCACGCTGCGCTCGGTGCTGTACCAAACGGGCACCCCCCACACTGGCAAAGCGGCACACTGGTTTAAGCACCGCCCAAACAACCTGTGCATGGCTGGCTGCGGCCAGCCGGACGGCATCCATCACGCCGTGAGCGCATGCCCCCCTGCACCGACGCGCATCACACCAAACGTCACCGCTGCACGAATGCTGGCACCAGCCGTCAAACACAGCGTTGCAGAATTGAAACTGCACTCAGCAGATGTTGGCAGCACGGCCGACTGCACAACAGCCGGGTTGCCCCCCAATCTCCCCCGCATTGCTTGACCGCAATGGCTGCCTGTAGGCACCTCTGACGCAGACAGAGCCAGGCTCGGGGCCCCAAAACCCGATACAGTCATGTTGGTGGGAGGTTGCTGGTGATGAGGGCGTAGAGGGAATGACGACGACCTCCACCCTGCCAAGCAGGCTGTCCACCACACCACGTGGCACCTGGGCAGTCCTGAGCACAGCTCCAGCTGCCCTGAGGGAGATGAGCTCGCATTTGGGTGTGTTGGGGCTGATCATGCCTTTAATGTAGTTGGGCAGGTTAGGGTATGTGGGTTCACCCCCTTGGAGGCATGCTGACGTCACAATTTCACACCCACGTGACCAGGAGTCACTAGTGACACCGCACAAGTGACACCATGATGAGTCAAGTCGGTTACACCCTTGTACCTTGGCACCTTATGTTGTGCTGTGGCACCAGCTGGCACCAGCCAGCCTCTATCTTGGGGCCAGACAGCTGTAGTGACCCTTCAGTCATGGGTGACTGGTGGTGACATCATCATGTGATGACTCATCACTCACCATGACGTCATGCCAAGAAAGAGTGAGATGCGTCTGGCAGCTCCATGCTCAGTCCTTGCTGCAGCACAGAGCTGTAGTAACCAGCCACCTTGCACTGCCCATTTGGTCACTGCAGCCACCCTGATGACGTCATCATAACTCCTGGTGACTGTGAACACACCCCAGTGACCCACCACGTGGTGTCACCAGCTGGGCACCCACCTCTTGGCTGCTGACTGCCTTGGCACTTGCTGCTGACTGCCTTGGCTGCTGCTGCCCACCTTGCACTGCCCACTTGGTCACTGCAGCCACCCTGATGACGTCAACATGACTCACCAGAAGAGTGAGGGAGGCTGATGGCACCAGCTGTCAACCCTTGGATTCTCCTAAGGCAAGTGCA